CCCCAAGCCCTGTGTCAGAGCAGGCATTGGCATCCCTGACTCTGAAGTAAAAGATCCCTCACTGCTCAATGGCCTCGAGTGCTGAGTCAAGGTCTAAATCTGAAGCCGTTTGATGGTATATGATGACATCTTTATATAGTGTAAAAAAATTCTCTATTGGCCGGGATGTAAGCAACCAACTACTAGTACCTTGTAATTAAGTTATTGTACCTTGGAGTTCTGAAATGTTTCTTAGAAAGTAGATCATAGTTACCTAGTTTCTGAATTTTTCAGGTACTGGAGTATCTATTTACGAACTGCATGATTTTGATGTTATTTTATACATTGGACACTTCAAAGTTTTGGATCATCATGCATCCTTGTCAGCTGACACATCCTAAGGTCTCGGAGTATATTAGCCAAAATATATTTTTTTAAACTAGATTACAAATAGAGACTGCCACTCTTACACACCAGAACTATGACAATCACTTTACCCTGTCCATATTCACAACAAGTTTGAACCCCCTCCCCCTTTTTTAATGGGTTCGAAGCATAGAAATATAGAGCTTTTTAAAACTTGTAACATGTCTGTATCTGTTATATACTGTATGTAGTATAACTACATGAATTATTTCCATACCTCGAAGCAAAGATCATTTATCTCTTCTGCTGCAATTATGGAGGAACTAGAAAGGTCCCTAATTCATCTGTTCACAAACCAAATTTCAGCAGTGTGACCATATTACTGCAAGAAGGCACCCTCATGTGCATCTTTAAGGCATAAACCATGCTGTTCAACTTCACTTCAATTAATTTCATTTAAATGAGACAGGAATCCGTGAATAAAATGAAAAAAAAATGAGGACAATGAATATTATATAAAAAAGAGATGTTTGTAAAACACTTATGCCCCCTCCTCCAAATAATTGGAATTTTTCCAAGACCAAGGGGCAAAACTCTGTCAACAATAGCTAGATCATACTCAAAACAAAACTTGTCCTAGACATTTTTATGATAAATCTGTATATCAGATTTCATTTCAGTATGTGCAAAAGTGAATCGGACTATATGATACTTGGTTTACAGACAGACTGACTGACCAACAGACAGCAGCAAAGCAATATTGCCCTCCCTTCTTTGAAGGGGGTATAATTATATTACATGTATATGGTAATGTATATATGAATACGTCATTTTTCAGTCTAGAGTGTATGCATCACAAAAATAGAAACAATATAAATCAAAAAAATTTTTGAAGCATAATTGATATGATATCTTCAGTTCAGCAACATTAGGTTGTACCTTGAAACCTGTTCTTATAGGTACCTTATAGATTGTGAGAGCGGAGCATGATAGTCCTTGTGCTGGTCCTTAGATATCACGTGATAACTCGGCAGCTTGTCAATGACAATTAATTTACAGAGAAACATTAAATGTATGTCCTCCTTCTGTAACAATTAAAGTAGTTTTGTCAATTTGATAGGCAATAACACTCCTTATGAAAAATCAATTTTCTTAAGAACACCAAAGAAAATAGATAGATTTATATTATCCCTGCACGATGTAAATTCAAATTTGTTCAAATCATAGCTTGGAGTATGTAGATTGGCCAAATATTGAGGGGGATGAATGCTTCTCATGGAATTCACGGTGTAAATTCAAATTTTCAAATCATAGCAAATGGCCAAATATTGAGGGGGATGAATGCTTCTCATGGAATTCAGGTATCTATACTGGGAAAATCTGAAATTACATGTAGAGATCGACATGGATGTCTTTTGTCTAATGTTCATTTACTATAAGCAAAACTGAAACAAGAAGTGTATGTCAAACACTGATGCCACATTCCTGTATTTTTTGTATTATTTTATAGTTTTAATATTTTTTTAATACACAAAATTTCTACTTTTCTTCAGTACTAGAGATAAAGTGTATGACACTTTCAGAAAGTGCAAGGATATGTAAATCAAATGAGTCCCAAAATTGGTAGACATAAGTTTATATTTTATGGGAAATGCTACGCTACAGTAACATGTTTAGTTATGAAACATGTATTATTACAGAAAATATAAACTCCAAATCTTTGTCACCTTTTTAAAATTACTGTTGAAAAAACAACTAAAACCAGTTTGAATATGAAAATAAGAGTTTTTTTTCAACTTGTAGGCATCAGCTCAGCTGAAGTGTTAATATTCATTCGAAGAGAGCAACAATATATACATTTATTGACTGAGTTCTCAGCCAACATGCGTTTTGTAGGACCCAAGAACCAAACTGTCTGCCTAATAGGCCGAAGGCATACAGTTTTGTTCCAGGGTCCGACAAAATGCATGTTGCCCGAGAACTCTGTCAATAAATGTTTTGTTATACCTTTCATTTTATTTTATTTTTTTGACATACATGTATTTTGTACTGTATTCCGTGATGTAACATCAGGTCTGTCACTTTTTAACACCAACGAATGAAAGTGAGATTAAGCTCCGCCCATTCTGTGATGTAAGTGGTCCAACATCTGTCCGAGCAGTCCAACATCGATTTTTTTTTATGCCCGCTCGGCAAAACACTAAACAATAGGCCCAGGGGCCACATCGCTCACCTGTGCACATCGGCTTGGAAAACGCACAAATCAGATCAGAATTGAAAAGTTTACTGAGGGGGTGGGAAGTGGCTTGAATTCTAATACTACTTGAGAATGCCTCCATATCAATTCTGCATATACTTCTTGAGAAAGTTCTTGAGAAAAAGATTTTTATAGATTTCTTTAACAATTTGTTTGTATATATTACTTTGTAATAATTTAAATTTGACTCCCCATCATTTCCCTCCCTACCCCAAAGGGTATTCATGATTTGAACAAATTTAAATCTTCAATACATGAGGATGCTTACATGTCAATATGACTTAACATAGCTTTTCTGTTATTGAGATTTTTCCCTTTATTTTCCTATGTAAAACTTTGAACCACCATTGAGACCCTTCCCTACCCTTGGAGGTTATGATGTGAACAAATTTAATTCTACATTACCTGAGGATGCTTCCATATAAATATCACTAATCATCATCAGGCTTTGCTATTCTTTGGAAAAAGATTTTTTAAAATATATTTTAATGAAAAACTTGGATCCCCCATTGTGGCCCCACCCTATCCCTAGGGGGGTTATGATTTGAACAAACAAGAATCTACAGAATCTGAGGATGCTTCCATGAAAATATCACTATATAATCATGGCTTTGCAGTACTTGTGAAGAAAATTTTTAAAGATTTCCCTCTATATTCCTATGTAAAACTTTGATCAGCCATTGTGGCTCCATAATACCCCTGGGGGTCATGATTTTAACAAACTTGAATGTACATGCACTTTCTGAGGATGATTCAATATGAGTTTCATCTTTCTTGTCCCAATGGTTCTTGAGAAGAATTAGATTTTTAAAGATTTTTCCTATATATTATATGTAAAACTTTAACCGGCCATTGTGGCCCCACCCTACCTCCGTTGGTCATGATTTGAACAAATTTGAATGTACACTACCTGTGGATGACACAACATGAGTTTCATCTTTACTGTCCCTATGGATCTTGAGAAGAAGATTTTTAAAGATTTTCCCTATATATTCCTATGTAAAACTTTGATGCCATTGTGGCCCCACTCTACCCCCGGGGGCCATGATTTGAAAAAACTTGAATGTACACTATCTGAGGATGATTCAACATGAGTTTCATCTTTCCTGTCCAATGGTTCTTGAGAAGAAGATTTTAAAGAATTTTTCTATATATTCCTATGTAAATCTTTGATCGGCCATTGTGGCCCCACCCTTGCCCCGGGGGTCATGATTTGAACAAATTTGAATCTACACTACCTGAGGATGATTCAACATGAGTTTCATTTTTCCTGTCCCAATGGTTCTTTGCAAGAGGATTTTTCAAAAATTCAATTAATTTTTCACTAATTCATGATTATCTCCCCTTGGAAGAGGGTGTGGCCCTTCATTTACACAAACTTGAATCCCCTTTACCCAAGGATACTTTGTAGCAAGTTTGTTTGAAATTGGTCCAGTGGTTCTTGAGAAGAAGATGAAAATGTGAAAAGTTTACAACAAAGACAATGAGGACAATGACGACAGACAACGGACAAATTTTTATCAGAAAAGCTCACTTGAGCCATCGGCTCAGGTGAGGTAAAAATGTAAGACTTTTTTCCGTATAGATTTGTATAATAACAAATTTTTAAAGGTATAACAAATTAAGTTGCATATAAAAATAATGATTTTGCATTCATTTCAGCAAAACACTGCTAGATTATTGAAGATACCATTTGCTAGATAGTGTTTGATAAGATAATTGATGCATTGAACACACCGTATGAATTGATATTTTACAATGATTTTTAAAAGTTTGATCATCTGAGTGTTCATTAAATTAGCACTCCATAGTATGCACATTCAGTGATGTACATATATAAACATCAAAACTTCTCCTCTGCTTTTAAGGGCTTGGAACCTTCTGCTTGAAATAACATGTTGAATTAAAAGTTTTGTGCCTTTTTTCAGTTTTTTTTTCTTTCTCTCTCATTTTTTCTGTTATTTTTTTTCCTTTTTTTCACATATATATATATTTTCCTTTCTTTGTGTTGTTTTTTTTTCTTTCTTTTTGTTTTTTGGTTTTCTTTTTTTTTCTTTTTTTTTTTTTGCTTGTTTTTTTTTTCTTTCATTCTTTTTTCTTTTTGTTTTTTTTTCTGCACAAAACTTGCCAATGAGATTAAAATAATTTCACATTTACAATTCAAAATTCCACACTAAAATTCACAATTTCACATCAACAATTCACAATTGCATTAAAATATCACAATTTAACATTTTTAGAGGCAAATCACTACATTACACTTTCAAATACAATATTACAATTAAATATATATAAATATATATATATATATATATATATATATATATATATATATATATATATATATATATATATATATATAAATATATATTTCTGAATATTTAATCACATTAGTATATTGACATATTGAGGGATTCAATTTCACAATAAGCTAAAATAACGAAAAGGTGACTTAATACAAATTATTCTTTCTACAACAGCTGACAGAATTTACACATTCTGTGAATACTTATGTCATATCTAACAATCATTACATCTGGAACATATTTAACTTCATCAAAACAATTACAATAATGAACCATAATCTCATTGGCATAATAATAAAGAGATAATTAAAGACAAAGCAGCCTCCGACTAGTCCCTTTCAGCTTCTCCTCCCCAAGCCAGCCTGGCAACCGTGGCGGCGAAGGAACTTAAGTTCCAACCAGTAATGCCCCAGGGTATCGACAAAGCCTACTTACAACTAACCTTCAACTACTTCATCTTAACACTATGAATATAATTAGCTAATGAAGAAGAAAAAGAAAAGCAGGGGGTCAGTGTGGGAGGAAGACGGAGTACCCGTAGAGAACCCACGTGTCCGAATGGGCGACCCCATACCCTGACATAATTCGGACACCCTTTACAAAAATTTATATTTTTAAAATAGTCTTTGAAAAAAACATTGTTACTAAAATGGATTTACATTAGCTGCTTTGAAGATGTGGATTAATCCTGCATTAATTAAGTCCTGCTTCTTCATCCACACATATGATCTCAAGGATGTTAAATTCCTTCTCAAAGTTTCTTTGATTTTCTGTAAATGAACAAGACAAGCGGTAATTGTCAGGTTTGATAAAAAAATTTAAGAAGACACCTATATGCTACATTGCTCATCTGAGCAATGTGGGGAGGGAAAAGGTAGAAATCAATACAGTACTGTATATTTTCACAACACCTTAGTTTAGTGACTTGGCTATTTGGTATTAATTAGCGAAACAACATTTTCGCTAGCTGTGGTTTCTGTTGTATATAAACATTAGTAATACAAATATACAAGAGAATAAATTTTTCACGAGCAGACAGTCTCTCTTGAGAAATTTTCACTCAAATAGCACTGCAACATTTTTCAGGAGAGGGCTAAATGTAGACCTAGATACTTGGTATTAAGGCTATTGAGCAGTGAGGGATTTTTTTTTGCACCTACTGCAACATGGCACCACAGTTGTTTATACGATCTCAGTGAAAGACCGGTCTCCTTGTCCCACAGTGATTCGAACCCATAACAGTAGGATCAACTCCTTACTACACTACTCTATAGCAGATGCTCTTAAATACCAATGTACCATGCAACAACAACACAAAATGTGAAATTTAATTAGAATTTCACACGTAAATTATATCAGATGTGTCATTCTTGGGTATTATTGGTATGAATTAAGAGTCAGCATATATGGCTGAACACCATTACAAAATCAAACTGAATATATTGCAGACTACAAAATAAGAGTCCTGGACTAAAACTTTGGTCTACTAGTTAACTAGACCTTGCTTAATATAAACAATAAGATGATTTGGAATATGATAATGTCATATACCTGATCAGTGTCAGCTATCCACTGTGGTATGTCTTGGTGGAAAAGTCAACATCCATCAGGCATTGTCCTCCAGGTGTTTCCACCAAGTCTTGTTCCGGGCATATCTGCTGTTTCCACATTTTGAAGATCATTGTCCATCACGCTTGTCTGTGTTAATTGTTTCCACCAATTCCTTTTGGGTGTACATGGTGTTTTCACATATTGGAAAATCATTGTCCATCAAGTTTGCCTCAAGATTCATAATGGCCTTGCCTCCTCAAGATTTATTTCACTAAGTCTTTTTAGAAGTATTTGCTGTTTTCCCTTCTTTCCGCCAATTCCTTTTGGGTGTAGCTGGTGTTTTCACATATTGGAAAATCATTGTCCATCAAGTTTGCCTCAAGATTAATAACAGCCTTGCCTCCTCAAGATTTATTTCACCAAGTCTTTTTAGAAGTATTTGCTGTTTTCTCATCTTTCCACCAATTCCTTTTGGGTTTAGCTGGTGTTTTCACATATTGGAAAATCATTGTCCATCAAGTTTTCCTCATGATTCATAATGGCCTTGCCTCCTCAAGATTTATTTCACTAAGTCCTTTTAGAAGTATTTGCTGTTTTCCCATCTTAAAAGAGGTTCATCAAGCTTGTCTATTCCAGCAGTTTCCACAAGGTTCTGTTGGCTGCAGCTGCAGTAAGAGTCAGAAGAAAATAAATGGAGAAAATACATCACTGAAGTTTTTTTTTTAGGAAAATCCTCATTTAACTTATTTAACAATTGTTATGTTGTCTCAACAGTAGTTTAACATACATGTTTTATATTAATTGTTATGTTGTTTCAACAGTGGTTTAACATATATGTTTTATATTATTAAGCAAACATTCAATATTGGTGTAAAGAGGTGGTTTATCTAGCTGAACATCACAACAAACTGACTTTAAGAAATAAGATCATCTAAAATTTTAGCCAGCTAGTTAATTTGACTTTGTTAATAAAATGATCTTAGATTATGATAATGTCACATACCTGATAAATGTCATATCAGCATCCTTTGGCTGTTCATCCTCCAGTTTTTTCTATCAGGTCCTTTTGGGTTCATCTACTGTTTTCACCAAGTCCTGTTGGGTGCATTTGCTGTTTCCACATCTTGGAAGATCAGCAAGTACTGGCTATTCATCATCCAGTTGTTTCCATCAGTGTCCAGTTGGGTGCATCTGCTGTTACACGTCTTGTTCAGAACATCTGCTGTTTCCACATCTTGAAAGATTAGCATCCATTGGCCCTGTCTCCTCCAGTTGTTTCTACCATGCCATGTCCTTGTTTATTATCGCAAGCTTTTTCGTCTCTGACCAGTAGAGCTAAAAATAAGCCAGGCAAAAAGTCAGCTAGAAAATTTGACATGGTTAATTAAATGATCTTTAATCATGATTTTCTCATTTACATGTACCTGATCAGTGTCAATTATCTCCTTTGATATGTCTTGTTTGGAAGGTCAACATCATCAAGCAAGTCTCCTCCAGTTGTATCCACCATGTCCTGTTGGGTCCATCTTCTGTATCCACCAAGTCCAGTTGGGTGCATCTGCTGTTTCCACCAAGTCCAATGGAGTGCATCTACTGTTTCCACCATGTCCTGTTGGGTCCATTTGCTGTCTCCACCATGGCCAGTAGGGTACATCTGCTGTTTCCACCAAATCAAGTGGAGTGCATCTGCTGTTTCCAGCAAGGACAGTTGGGTGCATCTGCTAAAAATATCAACAGCTTTATTTCACTGCATGCATTTTATACTAAAATACCTTAATCAGTCCCTTTCAACTACGATTTCATTTCCTTAATTTCTTAGATTTACATAACTTTTATTCTGTTTCTTAAATTTTTGGTCTTTAATTAGTTTAAATGAACGCATAATAAAGGTGACCACTTAATAAAGTTTTATATAGTATTTCATTAAAAAAAATAAAAAGATCTTTGCTGTTATAAAGATGATTACTGGACTTTTACGAGGAGCGCCGCGCTGACTTTTACACTAGGGCTATGTACGGTAGCTCCTTTACGATATAAATATTTAGCTCAACATTTAATTAAACGGAAATAACGGTTATTTCAATGCACATATAAGTTGTCCTTGAAGAAAACGACAAGGACCCTACCCTCAGCTCCCGGACTTCACAAGTTAGTGCCCCTAACACCACACCTATGACCACAAAAAAGGTTTTCTTATGCATTATCAATTCTGTACTTCCGTACATGATACAAGTTTAAATGTCCAAGTAAACGTCAACTGTAGAAGTCAGTGCTTCTCGTAAAAGTCCACTATGAAGTTTGGCTGTATATATTATTGATTTGAAATGGAATATTTTAAATTTATAATCTAACAATAATACTTCATTTCAGTTTTCTATATACAGCAAAACTTGTTTAGTATGAACACGGATATTGCCAAATCACGGTTATAGCGAAGTTATCTTGGATCGCCCAGCTTAATAAGTTTAACGAATTCCTTATATGGATATAACGGATATAGCGAAGTAATTTTATGGGTCCCAGTGACTTCGTTTTAACCAAGTTTTACTGTATTTTTCAATTACTATCAGTTCAATATTTTCTATCTTTCCTTATCGATGATGGTTTAGAATTTGGCTTATTTCTCTTCATCTTTAGTGAATTGTCCGACTATAAAATACTAACAAAATTTTAAAATAGAGCTGAAATAATAGATACAGTAAAAATTGTTTGGTACAAACACAGATATTGTGAATTCACAGACATAGTGAAATTATCTTGAATCCCTAGCTATATAAATTTTATGAAATCATAACAAAATATGGATACAGCGAAGTGTCATAGGTTCCAGTGACTTCGTTAAAACCAAGTTTTATTGTAATAAAGCCCTCAATCAAACCAGATGTTTTGGGTGAAACACTGTTTCCTCATTATCCAACATGTCTTATGTTGATGCTAATGCACAATGCAACAATGAACATTAGACATATTCTTAGGAAAAATAAATGCTATAACAAATAAAGCTCACTACAATAATAATTAACAAAAATTCATAACTATTATCACAAATTACTAAAAATCTCAACTAAAGCAAATAATTAAAACTCATAACTATTACAAATAACTAAACTCATAAAAACTAATTAAAACTCATAACAATAAAAACTAACTAACACTCATAACAATAACAAATAATTAAAAATCACAACAAAAGCAAATAACTTAAGCTCCTAACAAGTAAAACTCATGACTGCCACAATAACAAATAACTCATAACAATGTCAACTAATAAAAACATTAAAAACATAATGTAACAATTAACAAATAAAACATGAAAATTAACAACTTTTACAACCCTCATAAACAAAAAACTATAACAACTCAATAAACTAGAAAAGAAACTCGTTGCGAGCAACGAGAGGTCTTCCGTCCGATTCCGGAAGGAAAACGACAAATCGAGCTAAAAAAGTAAAAAAGATTTGCACACAAGGGGGATTGAACCCAAGTAGAATGAATTTCTAACGCACTAAATCTTACGCTATTTAGACCTCTACTCTTAATCTGCTTGTATATATTTACGAAACAGTGCTTATGTCTTAATATTATGAAAGGCAGGTCACTATTCAAAATTCAGCGACAAACACAACGAGTTAATCTTCGCGACTTTTCTTTGAAATGCTCTATCAAATAGGTGTGTTAGCTTCAATGAAGTTATAAAAAGAACGTTCTTATAGCCTATTTGAGGTTTAGAAAGTATATTTAACACATTTTAACAAATTCCATATTGTATATATACATTTAACACTAAAAGGGTGAAACGGTTGTGAATTTTTAACTTTTTTTCAATTTCCTTTGATCCTCAAAGTGAACTTTTCCGACTAGTTAATCGACAAAGGTTGAGATGTTTCGCCGAAAAACATGGCTCGCCCTACGACAGTCAAGGAATCAGATATCATTCTTGCTCAATAACCTGAATCAGGTCTCTGAGAAAAGAATGCTAAAATAAACTCCATGAAGCAACCTTTAAAAAACAACTTCTTATTTTTGTCTCATTTATTAGTTGTTGCACTAAAGATAAAAGATGTCGAAATTCATTTGCACATTACAGACCCTGAGACGTGCTACTACCCCAAAAAAGCGTGTGACTTTCGTGCGCTTTCCGTTTCGTGCAGACCGTGTAGCGTTTCGTGTAAACCGTGCAGCGTTTCGTGCAAACCGTGTAGCGTTTCGTGTAAACCGTGCAGCGTTTCGTGTAAGCTCCAAAGCGTTTCGTGCAAACCGTGTAGCGAGCGTGCGGAAAGCGTGTGAGAAACGTGCGACTTTCGTGTAAGAACCGTGTGAGAAACGTGTGACTTTCGTGCAAGAATCGTGTAAGATTCATTCGGAAGTCATTTCATTTTAAATATGGCTGTCGATGGGTCAGGATGTCAGATTGTATTAGTATTTTATTATTGAATTAGTTATGCTTGTGATATTTCAGGAGTAAAATCAAAAAAAGGAACAAATTGAAATTTTACGGTAATGTATAATCTATATTTGTTTGTTTTCTTTTCCTTCTATAGAAAATGTGTTCAAATTAATCAACCATGTACAAAAAATTTAAGGGCATTGAATTCATTATACTTTCAACGCGATCATGGCTTCTTAAATATTTTGTTTTTCTCAAATAAAGATATCGGTATAATTTTTTTATAATTTAAAGCAAAAATATATCAGGACTCCGCTCTTGTCTTTACATTTAAAGTACGCAAAAGAAAGTTTTGAAACGATGTGTCATTTAATACATTTTAATACATAAAACTTGTTGCTCATTATTGTCAAATAAATGGATTTTATAATTTTAATTCACATGCACTGACGATTACATGTTTAGAAACGGGGAGGGGGGGTTAAATTAAATTACTAGTACAATCTTTCATTTTTTGTTGTTACTTTCAATCTAATGTTAGTTTAAATAAATGCTTAATTTTCCATTCTTTTTAAATCCTTTGTTAAATATGTGCGCAGATACACCCCTTAAAAATGTATTGGAATCTTCTTTCCGCGTTTCAATTGTGATCAAGGTCATTTACAACAGCGATCACGGGCTCCGAGTGCATGGCAACTGAAAACCTGTTTTGCTATACGAGTTCACGGCTTTATGACACCTGAAAATCACGACTGGATTTTATTGTTTTTGAAATAAAATGGTCCTATGAATATTTAATGGGTACAACTTATAAATCAGCGGATTTCATCTTTTATTTGTAAATCCGAATTTCTAGCCGTAAACAGTAAAATAAACAAAACTGATTTGGTAGTCTTCTCATGAATGTCATGTAAGAAAAGCTTAGGAGTATATCATGAATAATTGTATATTATTTGTTTTATAAATCGCGTACTTTTTATTTCACCTAAGATATTTCAGTTTTCTTGTAATATACCCGAATGCCGGTGTAAAGATCGATCTACATTGTATGTATAGTCAAATGCCGCGAGTATTAATCAATGTACACATATATACCCACGTTTAGTCCGGGGTTTGAAATGAAGGATTTTACAGTATGATGGATATTCTGATGTTATTTGATAAGCTTCATGTAAAAAGAGAAAGAGAACAAAAATAGATTAAGACATCAGATTTAACCTCCCTTTACTGGTAAGCTTACGTAAGATAAAAAAAAAATTCTTTAAAAATGTATCAATAATCGTCAGTAGAGTAAATAGGCAAATTTTATTAATAAATCAAAATCTAGATAAATAATCTGCATACGGAAATCAAACACAATATAATCAATATTATTTAAAATCAATGAGTTCATATTCATGCAGTAAAAAATCGAATTTGTGTTTAATTTATTAAATTATACTCGTAAAAATATTACATTGAAATAAATGACTAATATACAAAAAATGTATTTTATTAAACAGTCATTCATGATATCGGCATTTCGTTTTTAAACAGTTGGATAAATAAATAAATACGAAATGACCATTATTTATTAATCAATCACAACTTTCAGAGTATTAAATTTTCTACCGGTTTATGTAATACTAGTGTACTGATATTTATTTAAACAGCTGCTAAATGTGGCTTTGTGAAAGATTTCCATTAAATTAATGATAAAACCGTAATAATGCCGGAGATGTTCCGAGTAGAAAATCCAAACCGAGGCCAAAACGTGCGAGAATCGTGTACAAAGCGTGTGAGAAACGTGTACAAAGCGTTTCGTGCAGCCTTTCGTGTAAACCGTGCAGCCATTCGTGCAAAGCGTTTCGTGTAAACCGTGTAGCGTTTCGTGCAAACCGTGCAGCGTTTCGTGTAAACCGTGCAGCGTTTCGTGCAAACCGTGTAGCGTTCGTGTACCGTTCGTGCAGCGAGCGTGTGGGGTAGTAGCACGTCTCAGGGTCTGTAAGTATTTTCTTTTTCTACTTTGAAAATCAGCCGAAACCAATTATAGAAGACGTTAGTTTGACACTGAACTACAACGTAACTACGACGTGACAATCCAAGTATTCCTGTACATTTTATTTATCCTTATGTTACTTTCGTTCAAGCAAACGCTCGACTGGCTCCTCAAACCCCTATTGCGAAATGTCGGAGTTGACGAAGAGAGCCGCCATTTTGGATCCGCTTCAAATTTTTAAATGCTTATATCTAGAGTTTAGATTTATCAACATTCAAACAAATTGTACTTTTAGCATTATAAGGAGAGTTTCTATTAACATACCAAAAATAAATGAAAAAGATTGAAAAAC